ACGCTTAAATGCACTCTGTGGGAAAAAGACAGTTACTAAATGTTACAGTATTTGGTATTACCACTCTGCTTTTAAAGAGAAAGGTATTACTATTCCAGTACCATGAAACGGTGAGAATGTTTTAAACGTAGGGCTAATAATTGTACACCAGTTCTTTCTGAATCAGCTGGAACGGAACACAAGCGCGACAGCTTATATCGGCTTTGTCGTGCCCATCATGTTAAGTTTATATAAACTACACTGTTATTTTTAATAAATTTTACACGCTTGAATTGCAGCATAAACTATAAACGCCAATACAAAGGAATTTTCAGGTGAAACTGCATTTATACCTCAAACATGTATACAAAGACTGGCCCATGGCCGAACGCAAATTGGTTTGGCCATGGGGTCTCCGTAATATTCTAGCGCTTGCGTAGGCAAGCCTCCAAGGTAAACACGCGTACACTATCAGTTAATATCTTGCGAGATTTATTCTTCTTCCTGTGGCTCTACAACCCAGTGTGGGTCTTGGCCGCCTCTTTCAGAGGTTTTTTTTAATCTATTTAGACATTTGGTAGGACTCCTTGGACGACTGATAAGCCCGTCGCAAGGCCTTTACCAATTTCTACTCAATCTGCTACAATCAGAAGAGACATGGGTGAGAAATGGCCGCTCGTTCATGCTCGTAAGGTTATTTTACATGCCGTAAATCTACGACATGGTACCGCCGGCTTTACTTCCCCTCTGAAGGAAGATTTTGCTACGGATTTTTATCACCCTTAAAATCCATCGACCTCGGCCGGGATTGAACCCGCGAACCTGGGTCCAGTTGCGAGCACACTAATCACTAGTGCACCGAGGGCGACTCTTGGAACATTTATGAAATGCTAATTATTCCATGACAAGACAGAATTTACTGGCCCAATTTCCATCAGAAAGAATATGAATTACGGACCTCCACCTGTTACGACATTAAACATTATTTAATATTTATCTCTTTGGGCCCACGTCTTAATATAGTTTGTTAATCATAAGGGCAATTTTACATTTGGGTTTAAGGTCCTACAAATTCCACTGATTTACAGACTGATGGATGATAACACCATCACTAAAACCATCAGTCTGTTGTCGATAAAGTATCTGTTGATCGCAGCCAATTAAACTAAAAATGAGACCAGCTGCCCTATAGCATTATTGTCGTTTTATACAAAGGGCATACAGGTGTCCCAGAAAAAATTATTAACTTTGTCATCTTTTTGGGGACACGCTGTATATCTGATAAACCTCCTAGTGGTTGTCTATACGTTTCCACATCATTCAACCTTCTTCACTACCGCTGGCTTCAACTGTCGGCCATAAGTCACGCCCTCACATTTAAATGTTTTCGCATCCGCGGCTATGTTAGAGATCATACCATGG